GCAGCAGACCCATGCGCAGATACAGAGTGGTTAGTTCAGTCGATTCCAAGAAAATTAAAGTCACTCATAATGAGAACGGAGTTCCCGTACCCAGTGAAATTGGTCACTGCACTGATCATTTACCTCGCTTTGCAACTGGTATAGGAGGGAGCCCTATACAACAAAATAAGGCGCACGGAATTGTAAGAATAGTTATTTGTGTAAAGAAATTCATAACTTTCTGGTTCAGATTCACTAAACACCAAATGAGGACTAAGCTTATTGCTTATAATCAGTACTACTCCCCTCCGTTTCCCCAGAGGTGCGATAGTCGGAGCCGATTCTCCGCCTACCTTCACTTTTGAGCTGGTACAGGGTGACCACCTTCACTTTTGGGTTTGCAAATTTTTTTGCTAAAGCTCAAAGAAGGAAAATAAGCAAAAGGAATGTAAAAGAAAGTATTAAGAGCATATATCTATGTAGTAGATCGATCCAGGCAGTAACCGCCGAGAACCAGAATTTCGAATGATAAAATAATGAAAAATCGTGAAAAATTATTCCATTGTTACAAATCTGCTGGCTGAAGACCTCCGCATTTGCGACTTCATAGGTTTTGGAGGGAAGTGTTGTTCTACCAAACAGTGAAAGAATTAGTTTGATTTGAGGAGTGGCCGCCGGGAACGAGAATTTTGAAAAACCTTAAAATCTTCTCAATTTTAGGTTGCATAATGACAACTGACATTTAAACTCTTATAAATACGGATTTTGAATGTGTGTGATATTGCGACTTCATAGGTTTTGTAGGGTGAGGTTTGCCCTATCAGAATATGTCTTAGCTATACCGATCCATTGAGACGTCGCTGAGATCCAGGCTCTTGAAGAAGCAGGTAAAAAATCGTTTTTCAGCTTATAACTTCTTCAGAATTGCATAATTCATGCTGCGACTTCATAGGTTGGATTGTCCTCATCAAGAGCTTTCAAATTATATATAATATGTGGGGGATTCAATGTTTCTTGTGGTTCTAACCCGGGGTGGAGTACTCCTCTTCACTAATTCTCCACCCCGCCCATTTCAATGTATTGGCGGGAGGCCGCCAGTGGAGAATTAGTGAAGAGAGGTACTTCACCCCCGGGTATATGCCGTGGAAGGCGGAATCCCCCATATATTATAAATCATCTGAAAGCTCTTGATGAGGAGAATCCAATCTATGAAGTCGCAACATGAATTATGCAATTCTGAAGACGTTTTAAGCTGAAAAACGGTTTTTCACCTGCTTTAAGAGCCCGGATCTCGGCGATGTCTCAATGGATCGGTATAGCTAAGACAAATTCTGATAGGGCAAACCTCACCCTACAAAACCTATGAAGTCTCAACATCATACACCTTCAAAATCCGGATTTATAAGAGTTTAAATGTCAGTTGTCATTAAGCAACCTAAAATTGAGAAGATTTTTGAGGTTTTTCAAAATTCTCGTTCCCAGCGGCCACTCCTCAAATCAAACTGATTCTTTCACTGTCTGGTAGAACAACACCTACCCTTCAAAACCTATGAAGTCGCAAGTGCGGAGGTCTTCAGCCAGCAGATTTGTAACAGTGGAATGATTTTTCACGATTTTCCATTATTTTATCATTCGAAATTCTGGTTCTCGGCGGTTACTGCCTGGATCGACCTACTTTCTTCGCAGTACGTCATAACAAAATGTACTTGATGAAACACACAAAGTCTAGCTGAGTGTCGCTCACAAATACACTATTTCATTAACACCTTTATTTGGAATATTTATGCAGTTGTACTTGTACTCATCGTCCTAAAAATGGCCATTGGGTCACAGTTATTGGTCCTAAAGAGGACCGTCGGGTTAGAGCTCTTCAGTTATCCGAAGTCATCATGAAGCTTTGCTCTATCGTAGAAAGTGCTGAGGCGTATATGCGTCCATGTCGGTGATGGCCTCCAGGTGCTCGCAGTGGGCGACGGCGACTTCCTAAAAGTAAACAACATAGAATATGCTCTCAATACTTTCTTGCGTTCTTTTTGCTTAATTTCCTTTTTCTAAGTTTCAGCAAAAAAATCAAAACCCAAAAGTCCGAAATAACCCAAACCAGAAAAAAAAACCAAAAAACCCAAACCAACCCAAAAAAACCCAAACCCAAAGTCCGTCCCATGCCACCCCCTCCCTCTCTACCTGCCCCACCCCCGGTCAACGTTTTTGGGAGGTGAGTGTCCGGCACTACCACCTTCACTTTTGGCCGGCCAGTGGTAGCTGGAACCGCCTTCACTTTTGGGGGGCCCGGCTCCACCTATCGCACCTCTGCGTTTCCCCATGCGATCACACCAGTGAATCACTTAATTGTCAAGAGCTCCTATAAGCGAGCTATCACTGATATACTGATCGAGTATATCAGTGATCCCGATGATTCCCAAATTGTACCTTGTGACAAGGAATATTAGACTCGTTGTGTTCCTGCACAGTGATTTTGCATTGGGCAAAATACACTTTAGTGAGCCATCGACAGTCCGCGGAAAATTTATGCGTTTAAAGAACTCAAAGCACCAAAATAAGATGTATCAGTCTGAGCTGACGTGGGATTCATGTCAAGAGAAGCAGGATGATCAACAATAACATCTTGAGACATTCCTGAGATGTTGTTGTATTTCCTGACTGGTTACGCTGAGCCACCCTTTGTTTGCGTAGCCCTTCCCTCTCTTCCTTAGGGAGAGATGATTGGACAAAAATACCCCGCTGTAAGGGATAGGTTTTTGACTGGGGTGCTCAACGTAAAGTTAGGTTAGCAAAATACGAACACAGTAGAACAACTTTGAAAAGCCTGTCATGAGAATTCTGGGGTTTACGCATACGATATAAACAAGGTCGACGTTCTATAGAGATAATCAAAAAGTTGTTTTATGCACATAAAGTCATGGTTTACTCTAAGCCTACAAACAACATTTCTTCTTTGGGACACCGGTAAAAACTGCGGATCTCTTTCTTTCTTCCTCTACATTTGCGGAAGACAGTGGAACAGTAAGAGCAAGTTGAGGAGCAGGCTCACGAGGGACGCACACTTGAAGAGGATTTTAATTTTTCATTTTCGATCCTAAGACTATTGACCTGCTCAATCAAGGAAAAAAAAATTCAATTATTCAACTCACGATTTTGTGGACTAAATTCCTCGAATTGCCTTCTTGAATCGAGTAGGTGTGCTATAATCGTTCTAGCATACAATGGTAACGATTCTTCTTGGTGAGGTCGTTCACTGCTTTGTCTAGTTCGGAGAGAGACAAGGTGAAGTCCAGCCTCCCTTTTTTTCAGCTTAGCAATTGGCCTTAGGAGGTATGCAGGTGTCTCCTCCATCAATATACCATCATAACTTATAATAACGGGCTAAGGGTTGTTTACGTTTTTGTGTGTGTGTGTGTGTCTGTCTGTCCGTTACAAAATTCGTAGGGAGAGTTCCAGCCAACCTCTTGAGCCCAAATTCTGCATAACACATCCCAGCAGCAGGAAAGTCCATTGTGCAAAAGCACAGGCGGATCCGATAAGTAGATCCCCTAGAAATTGCGCGCGGAACGGGTCCACTTAACTTCTGACCAGCAAAATTGGGTTGTATATGAACTTTATGCAAAGTCGTGGATATGTTCGACAAGCTAATGTATAAGCCGTAAACTTCAGCCCAAAAAATTCAGCCAAGGTTGGCTACTTAACGAAAATGGCGCCAAAAAGTATCAGTGCGTATGTTTAATTTATCACGATTTTATATGATCATTCGAGAAGATTTTTGCACAGAGATGCAGCCCACAATGATTATCGCCGTTATGGCGACTACCAAGCCATGGGAAGTCCACAAACCTATTTAAATTTGCATTTATTCTTCTGAGAAAAGTTTCATCCACGTGAAATTACTAATCTCGCACAAAAAGCTCTAGGAATTAGTAGCTGTTTACAAATCATTCGTGATAGCCTGCATAACGCGGTGAGTTTCACTGTCATCATTATGCGGGAATTAGTAAGGCATACAGAATGTAAGGCCAGTGCGTCTGCGAAGCAGAGGTGACGCACTGGTGAAAGAATAAGCTTGATGACAGCAGGGGATGGGGCGCGTTTCCTTCAGGGATGGATTAGGAGAATAATCGATATAGCTCAGCGCAAAGGGTATTGCGGCAGGTAGTAGGAATGCTGTCAGTGGTAGACTTAAGACAGCCAAAAAATGATCAGCAGATCGATTTTTCCGGGGGGGGGGATTGAATACAGCCAAGACCCCCCCCCCCCCAACGACGAAGAGTTATAGAAATGGGAGCGGTCAAAGGAAATCGTAAACGTACGGAGCTCAGGAGGATTGGAAGAAATAGATAGGCTAGAATAATAGCTGGCACTTAATGCAAATCGAACACAGTACTGAATAACGAGCAAGGTGACCACACCGCAACAGTTAGGGGAAAGGAGAATCGAAACAGCAAGTGCGCAGAACGCGAAAGGCTATTAACAAAATATGAAGGGTATGATAGCCAGGATGAGTAGCAGTCGCCGTCGGGAGTAGGTGAGGGGGTAAGAACCGACAATCAGAACTCGGTGAAGAAAACGACAGAGCTAAGGCGCCAATCAACCGCTCGCTGGCGGGACACCGAGTCGATTTCATGATCTTTCGCAAACTTTGAGCGGCTGAGACTTGACGGGAGGATGGAGCATGCATTGTGAACAACATTCATCTTCAAAATTAAAATTGCCTTGGTTTCATTGATTTTCTTTGCAAAATTTGAGATACGGGTTTACTTATCGACTGTTTGCAAACTCTGAGCTACGGGGCCAGAAGTTAGCACAGGATGTGGGGTAAGTAAGCATTTAGTTACTAAAACGCTGGAAGCTGCCATATTGAAGTGGGGGGGGGGGAGGGGAGGGATGGGGAGATGCTGTGTAAAGGTGGGACGGAAATGAATTTGATCATGTTATATTGTCAGAGACCAGCAAAGCCGGAAATTCCGGCTAGTACAATGATATAATTGAATTTGAAAGTAAAATTTCAGGTTCAACAAAGCCTTAGTGAAAATACTTCCCGGTGTTCCACAAATCACCCTTGGTCCTGGCTATGCACACAAAAAAGAAGCCGAGGACATCACTGTTCAGGTAATTTATACCTTTCCTGAAGGTTTCTTTACGAAAAAACGTCATTTTAGGCTCGTCATACTACTCTTTCACTGAAGTATCATCTTGAACAATTGTTCGCCATATTCGGGATATCAATGTGTTTATGCATGTTGACACTAATTGCAGAAATTGTTACATGTCATCTGGCGAGGAGATACAAGAATGACTGCACTTTGAGACGACATCAGTCTATTTTTGTTCCTTCCGTGTCATTCGTCCGTATGCCCCAAAAATGAAGCAAATAGTCAGATGTGTCCGTTTTGATATGAAATCCGTTTAGAGTAATTACACTTTTGATAGATCACATTTCTTGAACCAAACGTCGTTTCAACTACAGAGAAGTTTTTAAGCTTTAGAAATCGAGATTTATGGCTCAAGAGATTGCTTACAAGGGAATGGTCAGAAGTCGAAGTGGCCAATCCATACAAGCTGCATACCTTCGATGCAGCATAGAATGCTGATTTCAAATCTGTCTTCCGAATCTGCAGAGCGCCTTTGTAGCCGAAGTTATGAGCAGCTTTATTGCGAAAAAATCATATACCAAAATCACGAAATTAGGCACTTTGGTGCTCTTTTAGCTCACCTCTAGGTATGGGTCATATGAAGTGACCTAGTTGCATGGTTTTGGTCCAACACTGAGCCGAGAATGGCTTTGTACGGCCAAGTTCGCACTTTGCACGCACAATTTCTTAACAAAATAATGGCCTTCAACGGCTTATAATTTCGTTTACAAAAGCGCTCTGCAGATAAGGAAGATAGATTTAGAGTCAGCATTTTATGCTGCATCTAATGGTATGCAGCTTGTATGGAATGGCCACTTCGACTTCTGACCATTCCCTTGTTGGTTTTTAATAAGGTTGAGGCTCGTCCATCAACGTCAGCGACTATGCAAGAATTAGTAAGGCTCCTTTACCGCATACATCAAATAGGTTCAGCGATTCTTAAGGCATCCATCCAAGTCAAATAGTTCTTATAACTTGTGAAGCAGCAGTTCTCATTTTGACTCTTTATGCATTTCAGAACAAAATTACAGTACAATTTTTTCAAAATGCGACAGCTCCCAAATGTAAAGAGAAATGTTTCATCTTTAGATGCTGTAGCTGTACAAGAAATTTTATCATTAGAATGCAGTAGCGCCTGCAAAAAAGGAGGTGGCTTTATGTAGTAACTGTGATAAGCCTTCAAATCTTTCTAGTTTTCTCCCGCCAAATCAATGAAATTAGGATTAGATCTGGCTAATGATTTAACGTTGGATGCACCTGCACCTAAAATGGCGTTTTTTAACTCATTCATTCTATCATATGCACTTAAAATGTACCACTAAAAAAGAACACAGAAACACAAACACATGAAGTTTAGCGCCAGTAACACAGTATAATCAGGTAGAACTCGCTGCCTGCTCAGACCTTTGCAGGTGCAAAGAATGGTGTTCAGAAACCACAAAGGCAAAACGGACACATCAGTTGCTGGAATATAGTGACATTGTCTTAATTCTCGTATTCTTCATCAAATGCACAGGAATTCACCAGTGATAAGAATGACTAACATGGCCAGTGCATTTTTATATGGAGTCCACCAAAATTTCAAAGTTTTTGACAATAAATGGCTTTCCCATTTACTGTTAGGAGCTTTTTGCTGCATCGCGTAAAATAACGGAGCATTATGTACTATCATGGTAAATTACCATCATGGATTCACCATTTTCGAGTGCCGCATTGGAGGTACCTAGGCGATATGGCTACACCACGCTTACTTCTCCGTTTCAACAACCTACGACCTCCACTTTGAGCAGCAGAGCAAATTCAAATGCGCGATTAGAGCTTTAAATGCGAACAGGTGTACAGCCTGGCGACTTTTTTGACGTATTGTATATTAGGTTGTCCCGAAAGTTCTGTCGTTTCATGTTTGAAAAATCATAACTTTACGTCATCTCAACGAATTTACTTTACTTTTTTTCTATTCGAAAAAGTAATCCTTTCTCTTTCGAATGCTGTTTTGCTGAGCTTCTGCTACTCACTGACTACAGAGATGAAAATAAAGACAGAAAGCCACATAAACTTTGCTTATTTTAACTTAGGTCGTCAAAAATCTGGAAAGCTGCAGAAAAACCTAAATCGTCAACACGTAAGTTCTTCGACCTATTCTTTCAAAATTCGAAAAATTCGTCTTGTTTGGACGTCTCCGTGAGAAGTTACGAATTACCAGTTTACTATAAAAAACGGCAAAATTAATTAATTTGACACTTTTCTCGAAAATCATAACTTTGAAAAAAGGTCCAAACATGACAAACTTTCACAGTTGCAAAGGGTAGGTTAAAAAATCTATGTATTGACGATTTCACAATTTTCTGCAGCGTTTTCAATTTTTGGCGACCTAAGTTAAAATGACGAGTGCTTATACTGTCCTATTTTTCTATTTTTATCTTTACAGTCAGTGTATAAGGAAGCTCAGCAAAACAGCATTCGAAAGCGAAAAACTTACGCTTTCTAACAAAAATATAATGAAGTAAATCCGTTGAGACAGCGCAAAGTTATGATTTTTCAACGAAACGACAGAACTTTCGGGACAACCTAATATACAGGGTGTCCGTAAAGTATGTATACACTGTTTGATCGTTAATATCTTTCTTCCCAACAAGTCTTTTGCCTTGATTCAGGTACCGTTTTGTAGAGCTGGCTTCAACTTAGATTTGCAGTATAGAACGAATCACCCACCTCTCTTCATTGCTGCAGGATTACGGTAGAAACTTCAAAGAGGGTTTTGAGCCATAAAGGGCCAGGCCATATTTTGCCTCAGAAGGGAAACAAAACAGCCTGAAAGCTTTTACACTAGGCTAATCAGAGTTGCTGATTATAACTGTAAAGTTTCCGACTTATTATGATGCTTTATTGAAGAGTTGTGCCAGGTAAGAGGTAGCGGCCATTTTTTCAATGCTCCTAAAAAGTGCGATTACACCGTTTAGAAAACTTTGTAACCTTGTGAACAGTTGAGTATTGAACTCAGCGTCCATAAAAACCCTATTACACAAGTTTTCACAATTATTAATTTTAAAACGGCAGCTTTTTTCCACATTGACACCACATGTTTCAAGTTTCTACCGTAATCTTACAGTAATGAAGAGAGATGGGTGATTCGTTCTATAATGCAAATCTAAGTTGAAGCCAGCTCTACAAAACGGTCCCTGAATCAAGGCAAAAGACTTCTTGGGAAGAGAGATATTAACGATCAAACAGTGTACACATGCTTTAAGGACACCCTGTATACCAACGGCGTACCCAGGATTTCGGCTCGGGGGAGGGGGGGGGGGGGATTTTTTTAATGAAGGTGTATGGCGTTAGCCACGCACTGCGAAAAGTTATTTGGGATGTTTCCCAAATTTTTCCGGGCCCCTGACCTCGAATTTTAAAAAAAGGGGGCAAGGCTGCAGCCACGCCCCGAAAAAATTTTTTACAAGGCTAATTTGAATTTTAAAAAATTTTTAAAAATTATTTTAATTATTCGCAAGTTAAAACAAGTCCTCTGCACATTTTTGTAACACATTTAAGTATATATACCGAAAGCTATGATCTTCCAATCTCTTACGATTTGCATTCAAGCAGATTATAATCCTCTGAGTGTAACTAATCTAATTTGGATTCAATAATTTGGTCGGAACATGAGTTATATGCAAAACATATTGTCCATTTATAGCTTACTATCAACATGCTACATTATATTAGGTCGTCCCGAAATCTTTCGCACCAAATTCAAAAATTCATAACTTCTGATTTTTCCAGCCGAAAATCAGAAGATTACAGATACAGATTTGAATGTTTTATTTTTATATGAAAGAATATTGCTTATGCTTACTAATGGTCATATGTTGCATAGATAGGAGTGGTAGAAAAAAATTACTCAGAGTTCAAATAATTCAAACCTGCATTAAAAATCGGAGCAGTCGGTTTATAGGCTTTATTACCTGCTCTTTCTATCTGTGCAAAGTTTGTCTGATTGAACTTCTCTTTGAAAAGTTATGAACCACTAGCAAGCAGTCAATAAGGCAATTTTGATTTATTTTGGCATTTTTCTCTCAAATCATAACCCCTTTGATAGAGACTTTCACTCAGCACAAGCTTTGCACTGTTAAAGAATAGGTAATAGATTTATTGCAAGTCTAGATTTTTTGTGGCCACCCTACACAGAAAACTCGAATTCTAAGTCATTTCCTTCTACCGCTCCTACGTATGCAACGGATGACCGTTAGTAAGCAGCTAAGATGCCATATAAAAAGCATGATTTGCTCTTTCATGCAAAAATATTAGGTTTACGCAAAAATAATTGCCGCTTTGCAAATTCCAATTTGAAATCCTATAACTCTCCAATATCTATAACTAGTTGGCAAACCCGGCTTCGCTCGGGCCTGTCAATAACATATTTGTAATCAGCATGCTTGATTACCCCCCTGTGCCAACTCCCAGCCCTGTAGCTCAGATTTTGCAAGAAATCGATAAAATCGATATCGATCGATAACGAAAAGTAGCCTATGACACGCTCCCTGCCCCGAAGTATATGTGTGCCAAGTTTGGTCCAAATCGGTTCAGAAATAAAAATTTCTATTCCGCACATACGTACAGACAGACAGACATACATACAGACAGACATTCAGCTTTATACAATACCGCTCACATTTTTTGAAAAAAAGACGCGAATATGTGGACATGTATGGACATGTACGGACATGTTCATACATGTATGGACATGTCCGTACATGTATGGACATGTCCGTACATGTCCGCACATGTCCATACATGTATGGACATGTCCATACATCAGCGTCGCGTGGCCATATCTCGCTTCAGAGTGGACGAATTCTGAATCCAAGGCCACCGTTCGATTCAGCTCGGCACGGAGAATCTTCTGATATATTGGAAGTGGGGGTACGATGTTTTCGATATTCCGTTTCCAGTTTTTTCAATTTGTTCTGCGGAGGTCCTTTCGCGAATATGTGAAGCAACGCCTACCCAACATAGAAGACTTCACTAAGTACTATTCGATAATACTGTTCTTGTAAATTATTGTGCGCTAAAAAATAGGCTCAGACTTCTTTCCAAAGGAGGTGAAAGCGTTGGTGAATTTTGGAAAAATCACGCGTTTCTAAATTCTACTCGCCATAACTTCCTTCGGAATAAGTATATTTTGAATCCGAAAACTGCGCCTTGCTCAGCTCATCAAGTAGAATCTTCCTATATAC